GACATTATATTGAGCTCACACTGAGCTCATTTTGAGAACGATCTAAATGAGAGCGATCTCAAAACGATTTGAGGCCGGCTCCTCAGTCTCAGACATGCACACCTTAACAAAAACCACTGGAAAAAAGTAATGAAATTCATACTATATGGAAATTGCGACGGCATCATTAAATCCACAGTGTATCCATATACTACTTCCATGCTACATCCATGGTATGGAAATTAAAATTCGTATGAAAACTGGATTTCCTATATATTTTCAACTAAGATCCATACCGGCATAGTAAGAATTTTGACTGAAAAATTTCCAGTCAGAAAAAAATTTGAAAATCCATAGAAGGTCATAGAATGGAAATTGTATGGACCTTTACAGGAAATAGCATGGAATCGATTTTGATTACCATAATAATTGTGTATTTCTATACTATGGATATAGTATAGAAATAGTATGGATATATACTATATAGATTTATAGTGGTTCAATTGTAAATTTCATTGTATGGATTTCACATTTTTTCCCCGAGTGATATATACCGTTAATAAGGCGCGGGAAAAGAAAAAAAAAACAAGCTCGAAATTAAATTTAAAAAAAAATCAAGAAATTAAATTAAATTATTCAAGCTCGGTTGTAAAACGTGACCCAATCCGAGATCATGACCTCTCGAGGTGGTCTAGTTTAGATCACAGCTCGTTTTTGGTTGTTCACACCTGGCTCAGGATTTGTGAGCTCTATATATACATCTGGAGCACGAACTTCGGTCATTCGGCCTATATGTGAAAAGTGAAGGCAAGATGGCGAGAATTGACGTCCAATAGCTATGAAGGTCGTCAGTTTTAATACCATTTCCCCGACCAATTCCAGTTTTTTCTAACGGACCGTAAACAATAGAAAGGGACTGGCACTAGACGTCAATATCCGCGAGTCCTTACTCCAGACATGTATGAACTCACTATATTATACTTACTTCCTTTCGCATATATAGACAATAGATTTTTATATTTTGGGGCATGTTGTTCGATAGAACTATAATAGTATAGATGCATGGGTTTTGTAAAATTAGAGGTAACTTTACGTCAAATTATAGTCATAAAAGTATATCCAACATGTTTATATATACTGTATACAAAATATACAGCAAATTATGAACAGTATATATCTTAATAATAGGGTCTGCAGTAATTGGCATTTAGCTTTGCGACTACCCTGCCACAACTATTTTCGTTTGCCTAGCTAATGTAATTTATTGTGTTGTAATGCTGTTGTTATAGTAATGCTATGTATATTGTAATTCAAGTGGCGAAGTTAATAAAATAGAATATTCTTGAAATCGATGTCAAAATTTAGGTACACTCCTGACAGCTTCGTGTCCGTCCGCACATGAGACAAAAATAATAGAAAGGACTGGTACTGCATGCAAGGAAGATGGTGTTGTTGATGGGGTATATCGTGAGTCGTGAAAACAATGAAAATTTTACCGTGAAGCGTGAGGAAAAAAATCTTGTTTATCGTTTCAGAACACTTCAAAGATTCACCGTTAAAATACCAAAATTTTTACCGTTAAGATAGCAAAATTTTTACTGTTTACTGATTTTCAGACCCCCCCCCAAGACCCTCATGGAAGTCAATTTCCTTCAATTTCCGCCATCTTTGGCTCACTTTTTGGCTCGAGTTGAGTTCTCGTTCCAGATATATATATATAGATCTCATTAATTGGCCTGCATTGATCTATATATAAATTGTGAAAGACCTCTTAGAAAATACCGAGTGAGTCAAGAGTGCATAATGTCATACATGGATGCATGCCAGAAAAATAGAAAACTACTTGATCATGGTTTATGATTACAATTACAAAAAAATATATCAGTCAGTTCCCCAAAACATTACCGGAATATAGATTGGGATATTTTAGTTATAGTTAGTCTGGATTGTTCGACTTGTGTTTAATTTAAACTCAGATGATACGTCGGACGGATATAATGCGGTTGAATATAGTTTACAGCATAAACCTGGCAATGTCAATAAATTCTCACGTCCAAAATCGAAACTTCTACAAGGCCAAGGGCTTGCCAAGCATAGTTTAAATTTTACGCATAAGTATATCCCCATAACAGGCAATTTCATGAATATAACCTTTTGTACTAACACTTTGTTTACATATATAACACTGGCTTATTCTCGCCAATATTAAAAGACAAAACCAATACAATATTGTATATATACACTCGCCTTACACAAAGAAACGACAGACAAAGCCATTTTGGCATTTATATACTCCAAATATTATTGTTTTCTTAGAAGGATAATCCAAATCAGACGAATATATATGTACTATTTAAAACACTTTATCAGATATAAAACACGAGAGCGCAGCTGGAGTGTTTTATCAGATCTGATAAAGCACGAACTGCGAGTGTTTTAAATGGCTTAAAAAACGATCCATCATTTATCATCATCATTTATTGGTGAAGTATTAAAAATAAAAGTTCACATGATTTTTATCAGATATAAAACCACCGTCTCCAACGTGGTAGTGACTTCCTTCAGTTTCTTTATGAATCATTAATGCATTTTTAAATATATATAACATATACATATATATATTCTCGCTATGAAGCACTAATTTGTAAGGTATGAAAATTACAACATAATTATATGTATCTATATCGCTCTACCATAGCAACACTATAATCTTGTATGGCCAAACAGTCTACACAGTGACGCAAGTAATCTAAATTTAACTGTTTCATTGTCAAACCTAAATTTCTAATTTTCATGCTCCGTAGCCTCCGTGTGTAATATAAACCTTGCACATATAAGCCTGGTTCACATATATGTCTGCGACGTACCGGGGACGATGCCGGTGGTAGCTTAAAACGTGAATTATGTGAATATTTGTTCGCCGATTGCCTCCAGTGCCACAGTTACATCGGCGGTAGGCCGAGAAAGTTGAGTTGAGTTCAACTTTGCCGGTATTTCGGCGGCAAGTAGAGGCATAATGATACAGTCGCAGGCATACCGCAGGCATATGTGAACCAGGCTATAGTTATATGTAAATAAACACCTACAAAGTTCCAAAGACTCAATCAATAGGTCTGAAAACCAAACAGTACAGGCGATGAAAGCCATCTCAAGTGGTTTATGCCATGTTGAAAATTTAGATATTCATTTTTTGCCTATAGGCAGTTATACTATAAACAATACTGTCATCATGAACATGTTACAAGTTGGAATTAAACTCATTACAAAGCAACATGTTCGATGTTACAGTCTAGAAATTAATTGAAAGCAAATGATCGGTGACGTTATAGGCAAGTATTAATTGTGCATGGTTTAACTGTATTACTTAAGCCCTGGGCAAACTATAGGATACATTGTTGGGGAAACATATGTGATTCTCGATGTTTCCATGTTTGCCCACCAGTGGAAACATTGTTGCAGAAACATTTGATGTTTCCCTATGTTTCTCACTAATGTTTCCTAGTGTTTGCCCACTCTGGGAAACATGGCGAAACATTGGTAGGAAACAATGTTTCCGCAACAATGTTTCCTAGTTTGCCCAGGGCTTTAGTCATCGCCTAAATCAGTCGAATCATATACTAAATAATATCTCATAAAATAAAACAAGTTTTCCTTGATAATTTGAGCAATGTTTTGTACCAAGAATTTGCATGGAACAGATTTTGTGTAGAATATATATATATATTCGAAACATATACATTTGACACTTCCCAAGAGAAATTCGTCATTTATGTTAAAATATTATAAATCATACAATTGCTATAGTGTGACCTTTTCAAGTGCTAGACAAACTTTCAATTGATAGATTTTAATTCCGTTCCTTTATATGGTGATGACTTTAATACTGAATACAGTCACAATATTTCACATAGCACAACAATGTAAATCAGTTGTTCCACGCTATACTGGCAGCCTATTGCGGAAATTCAATTGTGTATACAATTTGTACTTGGCAAACTACGGCACACTTTGGAGCCTGGAAAGGTCGACCGTCGACGCCAGACGACATTAATTCTATTACTGTAAATACAGACAAAATCGCGAAAAAAATGAACGCACATTAAATGATTATATTGTCAACATGAATTATCAAAAACTTTTTTTATGAAATCTTTAAGAGAAAAAAGTTCCTTCTGTGAAGGTCCTAAATATATTACTGATATAGATACGATGCTATATTTGATGCTGTACATTAGCCAATATATATGAAAGAATAGTTGACTATTAAAGGCGAAAGCCATATTTGTAGTTGACGGTCTACCAATTGAATCTATCGCCATTCATCTATTCTACGAATCTGCGATTCAGTTCTATTTTCACGCCATCATCAACACGGAATTTGATACTACATAACAGCATATTAAGTATTCGTGGTAAAAAGGAATAAAATTGATTGAAGCCAGCTTTGATCTTGCGTATATTCGACGAGCATAGATAGCTGTATGCCGGCTGTATAGCATTTGAGCGATATATACATGTTTATTCTGTAAATCTGTGATTCAATTCTATTCATACAGCTATCATCACTTGTAGGAATCTGATATTATCTTATAGTCTATGTATTCATACAGTATAAACATAAAGTTTAGCGAGCAAAATATATTCTCAAGACATACTCGAATAACAGTGTTTCAAATTTGTGCCATTGCCGATCCCCAATAGTAGAACTTATCGCCAGTCCGGAATTCCAAATTCATTATAGTAGCTAAAATCTAACCGCTGGAATACCGAGCCGGATTTTAAACGTGGCTGAATATTCCTCGCACAAAATATTCTCAAAGTTTATTTAGACAAATTCTGCTTTACAGTTGTTTTTTTCTGGAATGGCAAGGTTAAATTCCCATCTTTATTTCAGAGCTGCTGATCATAGGAATTATATAAAATACCATACATATAGAGTAAAAATCTTATAAGAATACAAGAAGCTATATGTATTTCTGACATAACCAATACATATACCCAATTATAATAAATCCACTTACGTTTAACGCACTCCTTACTCAAATGACTGCCAGAACAAGCCAGCTCCAGGTATGCCAGACAGCAACATATCAAATAAAGCACTGCACCGCTTAACCGCTTTTCCATCCGTGGACTCGCGTATACACAATTGGTAATCCAAAGTAAATCTACAATATCAGAACACCGTCAATGAGTGACTTAACTTGTAAGGTAAACTGTAGATGATTATCACGCTAGATGGTCGGCATCAGTTTGAGAATTTTAGGACCGTTTGTGTTGTCTATTTAGTCAGCTCATTGCCATTTCACATTCAGCGGGTAGCCGGAAATCTGTTTTTTATAATTCACACAATGCCCTCAAACTGTGATGCTCAATTTGAGCACTTAAACAGCTCAAAAGAAACCACGGTCGGATTAATTAGGTGCGTGGGTTTCGAGCGCGGGTCGTGGGTAAAATTTTGCAGGGGAGGGACCAAGCCCCCCTCCCTCCCTCCCTACCTCCCTCCCTCCCTCCCTTCCTCAATAATAGCGACCTTAAGCATGTGTAGGACTGCAACGCGACGGCAAGCAAACTCGTTGAATCGAAATGATTGCAGAAGAAAACGTGCCGCGTCTATTATCAATCGTATGAGAAATAATACAGTTTAAAGATTGAGGTTAACATGCAGGGGTTGATAATTGAGTAGCAGTTGCCCCAGCTTGAAATGTAAGCGTTGTATATACAAGACGTGACGTAATATAAATCTGTATTTTGCCGTTGTAAACAGAGCCTGAGCGACGGTGACGTCTGAAACTTGGGATTTTAATTGTTCATGCACTTGTGCTCATTTTCGTGTATTAATACCAGGCTATGTGGTTGAATTAACCCGGATTATGTTAGATGAACTATTAATCACGAATTCCTCGTTAATAATCCACCTAGTAACACAGCCTGGTTAAATACTTAAATTGACCATGATATAGTGACCAAATTAACCAGAATCGACCATGGTGTTTTTAGAGTGCATCAATAAAGTCGTCACAACTTCGTTTATAGTTCACTATTTGGGTACGAAAAATTAAAACAAAGCTGGCTTGTGCAAGCGGACTAACGGCAAGTCCATTTTGCCTTGCACGAATTTTCACGCGCGATCCACGAGTCTACCACGATACGCGACACACGAAGCCTATATAAACACTCCAGATACCCAGCCGATCAATTAGTATATCTAAATAAAGCGGTCACAATGATCTAATAATTCCGAGGGCTTTCCGAAACCAACAAACCCTCGTGCCAAAACATCTCCCGTGTAGTGTAAAGGGCAGGGGCGTAGCTAATGGGGGGTGCGGGGGGTGCCGCACCCCCCCAATGCTGTGTCCGTCGGCACAATAAATCAGTTGTCGGCAAAATAAATTGGATCAAGCCAATAGGCAATACCTGATTGGAGAGAGATTGTAGAAAATTTGTAGAAAATGCGAGATCGAAAAGATGGATGTGTCGACTGAAAGCTCGGCTCTTTTCCGAACATTCAGCTCAATTGCCCAAGAACTTATTACGCTAATACGCTATTTAATAGTATTATATTTTCTTGCAATTTTGTGAAGTATACCATAGCTAGGAAATTCGAAGCACATGTGCGTGTTGACTGTTGATGCGTCTGCGCTTCATTTCATAATCTTGTAAAGCCAGTAAAGGTCTTAGAAATTACACCTAACGGTCTTTTATACAATGAGAAATACGGAGATGATTTAAAAGTATGGACAGTAGCAAGCAAAAACGCAAACGGAAGAGAGAGAAACTGACGTGTTTAGTTTGCAATCGGTCGTTTGATGACGAATGGATGTGCTTTTTCGATTTTTTTTCGGAACTATTTCGCCTATTTTAAAAATAAATTAAAATAAATTATCTTACTACTCGGAGTTAATCGTTGTACATTACTTAAAAATGAATACGGTTCGCTTTTACCACGCCCCAACCGCGCGCTAGCCACGCCCTTTTGTCGGCAAAAAGTTGTCTTGCACCCCCCGAAAAGGATAGTCTTCGCTACGCCCCTGGACTAAAGGGGTCATTTCTGGGCTTATTTCCTGATGTATTTGTGCGTGCTTTCGTGTAAATAAAGGTGTGAAATAAAGGCTGGTTTATTATAATGTTGACATATCAATACTCTACAAGGGGATGACAAGCGACCTAGACAAGCGACATCTTCAGTTGATTTCATTGTTGACGTCATGCGAAATTCCTCACTAATCTGGAATTACTTCCATTAATGCGCGCGCACTAATGCTACCTGATTTAAGCAGCGACTCTACAGTTCTACAGTATATACATTCAATACTCTTCTCAACTAGACTCTTCTTTTGATGTAAATAGAATGCGCACTTGGAAATCCTGATATTTACCCATACATAACAGTAACAGTAACAGTAACAGTAACAGTAACAGTAACAGTAACAAATTGCTTTATTAGCATGACTTCACATATAAGTATTGCTAAAGCTTTTTAGTTAATTATAAATATTTGCAAATGCAAAATGTTTTGTGGTAATATGACACTGTGAGTAATACAAGAAATAAAAATGAAGTTATTGATATAACAAATGAATACTCTATTTACAGTATATATGTAATTGAAGAAGTTTGGGAATTAGTTCGATAGCCTATTGACTGTCAGCATTCCGAGCTTCAAGGCGTTAACTTAGATCTCGTCTCAAAACATAAAGAGATAAATTTTGATAATTTTATCATGGTTTCTTTATCAGTTGATTTCATTATCTCAACTGATAAACTGTGTTCGTTTAAATCTGTTTCATTGGTGGGATCACTTTCCAAGTCATTTAAAAAGTTTTCTCGAAGACTACAATAGGCTTCACAGGATGTTAGGAAGTGATGTTCCGTTTCAATTTCTCCTGCCTGGCAGACCTTGCATATTCGGTCTTCCCGCGGAATGTTTTCATGAACTTGTGGTTTATTATGTACTATTTAAAAAACGAGCAGGAGTGTTTTATTAGGTTTAAAGCCACGAGCGCGCAGCGCGAGTGGCTTTAATTAGACCTAATAAAACACGACGAGTTTTTTAAATGGCTTCAAAAACGTTTGCATAATAAGTCAAATCTTTATATAAAAATCTTTATATAAGAATCTTTATATAAAAATCTTTATATAGTTTGCATAACAATGGTCTTTTGTTAAAGTGTTCTTTAGCTGGTATAAAGACGTATGCACGTGACTAATTTCTTACTCAAGATTGGATAATTGACCATTTGCGTAATAGACTAAATTTTGAACTAAACAAGTCTAGACAAAAATTTCATCACAGCTTGAAGGAGCATCACAAAATTAGTAATATTCCAAAGTTTCGTTGCAAAATGTTGTAAAATGCGGAAAATACAGCCTTGCGAAATTTGCAATTTTCAGTCATTTTAGATTACAAACGGGAAATTGACAGCCCCAAACCGCTTCGAGGCTGTCAATTTCCGGTTTGTAATCTAAAATGACTGAAAATTGCAAACTTCGCAAGGCTATATTATCCGCATTTTACAACATTTCGCAACGAAACTTTGGAATATTACTAATTTTGTGATGCTCTTTCAAGCTATAATGAAATTTTTGTTGAGATCAAAATTTAGTCTATTATGCAAATGGTCAATTGCTTCATGAATTATTAATGAGTTTTTGAAAGTCCTTTATTGAGTCCGACACCTGCATGGCCTCTGTAATCACTGTAGAGTCAGTTAGTTAGAGTGCTGTACCGAAATCGCAGGGCCGCAGGTCGGCAGGTTGAATTCCTGCCAGAGGGCCTATATAGTTGCATTTTCGCAACTGTTTCTGGTTAGGTTTAACAAAAATCTGAATTGAATTGAAGCGAAACTTTAAATGCACAATTGACGCGTGCCTACTCGATTGGATTCGCCAAAATACGAGTCGTACACGGCGGATCCCGGTGTGTAAACGTACCTTAAGTAAACTAAGTTTAATTACATAGGTGATTATTGAAAATTTTCCACGCTGATTGGTTTGATGTTGAGGTGATTATAACGCGTTAATCACCTAAGCGATTTTCGAAATATTATGTAGGCCGTCGGCCGAAGCCGTTTTGACTATTAAATGACGAAGAATATTTATTTTTATTTTTAATTTTTCCCCAAATAATCACCTATGAAATTGTACTAAAACAATTATTCGCCTCAGGCTCGGTGGTTATTGTTAAATGAAAACTTCGACTTTGTCTCTGTCCCTACTCACCGATAATCACCTAGCCTTCGGCGACAAATTGTTAATTATTTCTGTTTTCTATATTTATATTGATATTTTGTAAAGGGCCCACTGTAATTGGTGTTAAGCTGTTGTGGTGTCCCAGCTTCTTTAACGCAATTATTGTATGATGTTTGGAAGCGAAGCACAGTAAATAAATAAATAAATAAATAAATAAATAAATAAATAAATAAATAAATAAAACAAATGTATAAAAGGCATAGATATCTTATTTACATTAGATAGTGCATCTAATTATTCTGCAATTCAAAAATTGAAGCTGTGATTGCAGTCTCAGGTCGTTCCCATCAAATGAGGAGATTCGTATGTTTTCTATTTCTTAAACAGGGAACTTAACATTAAGTTAACCCTATTCCAAATACATTTTCAAGCTATTCAAATGATGAAAGTTATTGTTGTTTTTAAGCGTTTATTAGCAAGTGGAAACGACCAACATGGCCGCCATCTATTCAAATGGGGGTAACCGCTGGAATATTCCTGTCTTCAATTTTACTAAAAGAGATGCGCTATCTAGTGTATATAAGATATCTATGATAAAAGGGGGCAACGTATACTATTTTAAGTGGGCTACTACCCAAAATTGAAAGGCTCTCAGGGAATAAGCCAATATTCTGCAAGGATGGTGATAATGACGTTATACATGAACAATGTGAACAACAATTTTAGGCATTTTATTACATTAATCAAAAGGGTCATGTTGAAATGAATTGTCAGTGCAGTTTAATTTTTTAAACATACAAATAATGGAACATTCGGGTTGACAGTTAACGAGTGAACAAGCCACCTTTCGGAATGCAGTGTTATACTGCATGTATAATAAAAATCTATCTTAAACCTCGATTCATCATCAAGGGGATTCTCTTCAGCCTCGGCTAAACGAGAACGAAAGTTGATATCATAACAGTTATAACCGTCGCTCGCGTCTGACCGTCAGCTGCTCTCATCAACTTTGAGGTGATTTAAATTTTGATGAAAGTTGATGAGAGCTTTATGCATGGATTAATCCAACTCTCATGCAACTCTTGTTCTTGTTCGACTGGGGCATGTGAGTTTTTAAAACTCTTCTTCAAACTCGAATCAACCTCCACTCTTTGAGTGTGAACAAGCTTTTAAAATACAGGCGTTAGTGTGACAACAGTGAAGTCAGTTTGAACTGCAGTGAGTGACAAGTGTGATTTGCATATAGCCCGTGCGCTAAATTGGGATCATGTATCGTGGTTTGTGAGAATTTCTACCTTTTACTACATTATTTTTATTTGTGGATAGTTTAATAAAAACCATATAACCAAAACGAGTGATTGCGTCGAGAACTACAGTATGATAGTGTTAGGAAAGCATTAGGAAGTCGAACAGCTAACCAAGGGCAAGGTTGCGTTATGTAATATTTCAAATCCGATTATGAGGACTGGACTAGATTTTAAGTCTGCGCAATTTGAAAAATGCGTAGATTTGAAATCTAGTCCAGTCCAAATTGGAGGATTTGAAATGACATCTCATACGAATAAAACACGATTTAAGGGACCGGTCATTATTTATGGCGGGGGGTGGCACCGAAGAGAAAAGGGTTGGGTAAACAAAATTTTGGGTGAGTAAAAGGTTGGGTAAATGAAAAACAAAACAACTCAAAGGTTGGGTAACAGAAATTTATTGTCATTTCCAAAGCATGACTCACTCAAATATTGAAGACTGAAAACTTCAATGTCAACAGTCATATGTCAATACAATATGTGAATCAATCAGAGTCACTATCTTCATCATTTTCCGATTTATTGAGAGACAAATGGTGTCTCCAAAGAAAGGAAATGTGCAGACAACATGAAACTTTAGACTGCAGAAAAGTCAGTAAATTTCACAAGCCGAACGTTATTAAACTCGTATCACAGTGGCAAAGGACATGTGTGACAACTGAATGACATCCTTTTGTAATGTTTTTGGCCAGGGGTGGGTATTTATTTTTTAAATGATACTTGAGGTTGGGTAATCAAATTTTTTATTTTTTAATGGTTGGGTCAGCAAAATGTTTGCCACGAAAAACATTTCTCTTCGGTGCCACCCCCCACCATAAATGATGACCGGTCCCTAAAGTGAGGTGAATTAATTTTGATCCAGTCCAAGGACTGAATTAATTTTGATGCAGTCCAGAAGGACTGAATTAATTTTGATTCACTCCAAGGACTGAATTAATTTTGACCCAGTCCTAGGACTGAATTAATTTTGATGCAATCCAGAAGGACTGAATTAATTTGGATTCACTCCAAGGGCTGAATTAATTTTGATCCAGTCCTAGGACTGAAATAATTTTTATCTAGTCCAAGGACTGAATTAATTTTGATGCAATCCAGAAGGACCGAATTAATTTGGATTCACTCCAAGGACTGAATTAATTTTGATGCAATCCAGAAGGACCGAATTAATTTGGATTCACTCCAAGGACTGAATTAATTTTGATCCAGTCCTAGGACTGAATTAATTTTGATCCAGTCCTAGGACTGAATTAATTTGGATGCAATCCAGAACGACTGAATTAATTTTGATCCAGTCCTAAGACTGAAATAATTTTTATCTAGTCCAAGGACTGAATTAATTTTGATGCAATCCTAGGACTGAATTAATTTTGTTTCACTCCAAGGACTGAATTAATTTTGATGCAATCCAGAAGGACTGAATTAATTTGGATTCACTCCAAGGACTGAATTAATTTTGATCCAGTCCTAGGACTGAATTAATTTTTATCTAGTCCAAGGACTGGATTAATTTTTATGCAATCCAGAAGGACTGAATTAATTTGGATTCACTCCAAGGACTGAATTAATTTTGATCCAGTTCTTGGACGGAATTAATTTTTATCTAGTCCAAGGACTGAATTAATTTTGATCCAGTTAGGGGACGGAATTAATTTTTATCTAGTGAATTAATTTTGATCCAATTCTAGGACTGAATTAATTTTGATCTAGTCCAAGGACTGAATAAGTTTTTATCCAGTCCTAGGACTGGATCAATACACTACTTATACACCAGTTATCCAGTATTATCATATGAGCAAAATAAAGCAATATGGAGATTGAACTGGCATGGATTCTTGAGCCGGGCTTAGATTGTGGTGTACTGTTACTAGTACAGTGGTCACTAGATGTGCGGCACAACTGTGACCAAATTTCGATTCCTGCCGTTCCCATTATAACTGTCGTGCATGTGATGTGAGAGGAATGTCAGTTGCAGCTTAACGCTGCGGCCAAACGCCTCAGTTTTCTCCGGGATATCAAGAGAGAACACGACTAATATACCCAATAAAATGGCGTTTCGGTAGCGCAATCGTGTTAGAGCAAGCGCATTTTACCTCTCATCATACTTATGTGAAAACTGAAAAGAGTCGGTCAACGCTCTGCCGAAAGTCGTGGGTTGTCTTCGGGTAGTCCTGTTTCCGCCCACAGAGAATATTGACAAGGTGGTTTGGGATAAGCCCTTAAAACAGGCCAAACTGACCCTTCCACCGTAACTGTGCACACGACGTTGTTTCAACGTTGAAATTTGGTAGAAAAAAGGTTGCGACGTCGACAACCTAATATCTACGTTGCTCTGACGTTGTTTTACAAACATTGGTTCAACAGCAGCCAACAGACGTTGAATTAACGTTCATTCATAGTTAAATGTACGACGTCGATTTGTGAACCAATCTCAACGTTGTTTTAACGTGGATTCAACGTTGAATTATGGTTGACGAGATTGGCAACCTAATTTCAACGTTGTTTCAACGTCGAAACAGTAACGTCGATCCAATTTGCATAGTCAACCCCTTTTCAACGTCTATCCAACGTCTGGAAGGTTATTTCCAACGTTGATTCAATGTTGGATAAACGTCATTTGGCCCGCTGGGGTAGCTGTGCACCGTGAGCAGACATGAGTTATAAGGTGGCTGCCAGAGCCTCTGGCCCAGAGGCGCCCTTAGGAAGCCTTCGACTCGATCAGATTGAGCTGCGTCCTTCGTAATTCAGCTTAGTTCTCAGCTACAAGTAAGGATGACTCAGAGGACAGTCCACTTACACCTCAATTAACTTTGCATGCTTGCCTTGTTCTAACTGCATGTGCGTAAGCCAACTGCTGTGAGGCGCAGTATGTACTGTACAATCCCATGTGAAAACCACAAATGATATCTATGCACACAAATGTACAAACAGTAAAAGATTAAGATATACCTTAAAATTCGGGCACAGTAAACTCTTTCCTTCGTAAATCCAGTTTTCGTGAGACTTCGTGCTATTCCTCCTTTAAAAGAGAATATTTAGAATAGTTAAGACAGACTTATTCTACTGTATAGTGGCTGACAGATCGCCTCCGAGGGCTGGTGAGTTCGACACACCTTAATATATACATGGTTTGTGGCTATAAAGTAGCCTGTTTCGGCATACCTTACTGATAGCCACGATTTTTAGCTATAAAGTAACGCCGCATTTCGGCATACCTCGTGTAGCCACATAAAAATGCAGTATGCTGTAGTTTCATGGGCGGTACCTCAGCTATATCCGGAGGTATGAACTATAGCAGTTTCTAGAATATAGGTACATAAAAATGCAGTGTGCTGTAGTTTCATGGGCGGTACCTCAGCTATATCCGGAGGTATGAACTATAGCAGTTTCTAGAATATAGGTACATAAAAATGCAGTATGCTGTAGTTTCATGGGCGGTACCTCAGCTATATCCGGAGGTATGAACTATAGCAGTTTCTAGAATATAGGTACATATAAATGCAGTATGCTGTAGTTTCATCGGCGGTACCTCAGCTATATCCGGAGGTATGAACTATAGCAGTTTCTAGAATATAGGTACATAAAAATGCAGTATGCTGTAGTTTCATGGGCGGTACCTCAGCTATATCCGGAGGTATGAACTATAGCAGTTTATAGAATATAGGAACATAAAAATGCAGCATATACCAAGCAGTGTTCGGCTACTTTATTACCGTGGCTGTAAAGTATACCAATCAATAATGAGGTCTTGCAATTTACTGAAGTTACTAATCCGGCTAATGTATATGCAGCCCCCTGCCGAGAAAAGCCTGCTGACGCAAAATGCAAATCCTCTATACTTTACTTTTAACACTCATACTGCTTTAGGGCAAACCACAGTTTACAGCTTCAAAATCCTAATAGACTTTTCTCAAGACTCACCTAGTTTCTATTACTAGCATGTGAACCGCTCAGGATCAAGCTCATCGCAGGTAAACAAAAATGTAGAGCAGTTGTCCCACACTTCCACAACCCCACAAAAACATTGGTTCATTTACTGGTACATTTAATTATCATCGATTTGCCATATATAAATATCACTTGAGCACATTAACAATCCAGCTAATACACAGCCCTCCTGCCGAGCAAAGTTTGCTGACGCAAAAGGCAAATCCCACTACACTATATCTTTTTAACACTGCTTTGAGGAGGTGGAAGTATACTGTATGAATTAATTCTAATCACTCAAGGGTTTTAAAGTTGAAATAAAACACGTTTAACAACCGTCATCGTATCTCAAAAGTCTGGCCCTGAACGTTTCCCAAGCAAATCCTTCGTCAGGTAGAGAGCTTAAGATGAGCTAAATCTAGAACACGGACGTGACAAAAGCACACCCTAAACTCGCAGGTCAGCAACACGGGTAAAAAATATGGATTCTTTTTGTGGTGGAAAACAATGAATTTAAACTGTTAACAAATCCAAAAAAGCATAAGTAACTGTCTTTTTGTCACGTCCGCGTACTAGATTTAGCTCATCTTAGTTCGCTAAAACAAGTATCCAAAACGTCGTGATATTAAAGTCGTTTTCGAACTGGGAACCGTTATTTCTTCCTAGTCACGCTTCCCAACGCCCCAAAGGTGGACAAACCATGCTTCTAAAAGATGGGCAAACTAGGATTAAATTATTGTTTCCTAGACATGTTTCACAAAGGTTTCTCAAAAGCAAATATCTATCATTTAGCCCCCGCATATGTGGGGCAGATATGCAATGCTGTAGATAATATTGAATAAACATTACTGATACTCATTTTTCTGGCGGACCTGGCCGACAAAACAATATATCACTCGCCATTTAGTGCGTAGATAAAACTGAAAATAACATTAATGGCACGCTTATATTATCATGATTAATATGATAAATGTGATAAAATCGCTCTGAAGATCCTCAATTCAATATCTATTTGATTAAATTCAAAAGACATTTCCGGAAAAGATACGTTAAAAGTTCAGACAAAAATTAAAATATTAAAAAGGAGAGCTCAACGCTACGCGGACGTGACAAAAACACACCCTAATTAACTCGCAGTGTCAGCAACAAGGGTAAAAGATATGGATTCTTTTTGTGGTGGAAAACAATGAATTTAAACTAAACCCAAAAAAGCATAAGTAACTGTCTTTTTGTCACGTCTGCGTACTAGATTTAGCTCATCTTAAGTTCGCTATATTAACAAGTATCCAAAACAGGCGTCGTGATATTAAAGTCGTTTTCCACTTCAACTGTATGGCGTATCGAAGCGCGCGCTTGTATTCTAAAAGCATACTCATGCACACTCAAAGAGTGGAGGTTCAATCTGAGCTTCCCTTGAGTGTCATGAAGTGCTGTTTTTGAATAGCTGGAGGGTTAGTCTCGTAACTTACTCTGTGACCACTCACCCTCCAGCTATTCAAAAACAGCATTGACACTCAAGCCGGGAAGCTCAAATTGAACCTCCATGCACTCTTTGAATGTGAGTGAGCTTTTAGAATACAGGCGGTAGTATACTTAGAATACAGGCGGTAGAGACTAGAGTGGAACAAATGACTTCGACACAACACGTTACGATACGGTTGAAGTGGAACTAATAGTCTTTAAAAGCCTTTTTTCAAGTAGTTCGGACACAAACGGCGGCAGCCTATTGCATTGTCGAATCTTGCATTCGTTAGAATAAACTAGATTACATTTAGTTAGTAAACTACGTCAGCGCAATTTACGCATTGTGGTATTTCCATCAACCACAATAAAGACGCATTTCAACAACAGCACCAACAGTATCAATTCTCAGAATAAATCATTTCTAAAATTCTCATTTAATAAAACTCAAAATACTGCATGACATTGAACATTTACCTCTATTTATCTTTTCCTACAGATGTATTTACCCCCGCTTTCGTTATGAACAATATTGCATGTACACCCAACGACAGTCTGCTATAGATTTCGCCACAGCACACTTGGCATAAACTTAATTATCACTTTCCACTAAGAATTTGGCGAAAATTCTAGTAAACGTAGTTAACTAATATTCTCTAATTAGAACAATTAGAACATAGTGCCATTAACGCAGGAGTCGACAACAGATCAATTCAAGATGCAAACTTTTGTTACGTTAAGTAAATATATTTAGATAAGCACAATGCGCAAAAGGCGTTTATGCAAATTTCTTATGCAAATATAGCAGCTGTCTAAACCGTTAATGTGCTCCATTGATAACTGGACTGATAACGTCAGTCAATTGCCACGTAAAAGCACCTCAATATGAGTGAAATTGCAAAGTTTCATGTAACAGTATGTTATATGGAAGAAAAAGTGTTCAATTTACAGTAAGATTGAAATTACAGTGAGATTGAAAATTTCCTTAAGATAAGAAATTTTCCTAAGAAAATTCAATGCGTAATAAACATTTCTAGTAGAATGTACATAGCCTTGGCTATATATAGAGCCTCGTTTTGGAGATATCGACTGTGAGCCCTTTATCTTACTACTAATGACTTAGTCATATAAAGATCTTTCATAAGTCTGTATGATTTCGTTAATGTATCACCTGTGACAAGATAAAAGGCTCTAAACTCAGTATCTTAAATTACGAAAACGATCGAGGTTCTATAGCCAATACTAAGAACTTTCCGGAAGGAAGTATTAAGCTCAGCTCAACCTGATCGAGTCGAAGGCTTTCTTCAAGAATCGAATTTATTTCACACTAGACTAGAATCGACTTATACTAAGTTCAACTCCGATTTCCGACGTAATAAAAATTTACATCTGTTAAATTCAAAAATACATAAAACACGCCAAAAATGTTAAAATAAGATAAGAACAGTCTTCTAATTTTTAATAACTCACTTTCGGGGCTGAACTGATTGAATTATGCAGAGAATACCGAATTATTATGTATGTTCGGTGATACATGTACGCCTGACATACCTATTTTTAATCACGTTGTATAGTCATATTTTAACAATGGTTTGAACTAAGAAAGAAATAGGTTTCGAATGGAACCTGTACAGGTAGAAAGAGGTTTTAGACGAACTATGTTTTTCCGGTAGAAACTGGAAGGCACTCTTCTCCAAAACAACATAAGGCGACATGTACTATAACTAGACACCTGCATTTTACAGGTGTAGTGATATACATAAAGATATTACTGACTGTGATTGGTTGATTTCAGTGCAGTTAATCCCAAACAGCAGTGCAATTTTCTGTAATCACAGTGCAATTTTTTGTAATCACAGTGCAATTTTCTGTAATCATATAGTGCAAAAATCTGTAACAAACTGATCTGAAAAATTACATAGACATAGTTGAGTGGAATTTTCAACTATTAGCGTTGCATAATGTGATAAAACAAAGCCAGGAAAACTTTGCCAGTGGAATATTCGAGCAGTAACACTGGATCAATATAAGGGATGATCCTTACTGGACCGCAAAGGAGAACAGTTGATACAGAATATAATTGAACTATCCGGTATAAACCAAAAAAGTATAGTTTAGGTTTCCTCCTGTAGTAACACTGAACCAACAAAAGACGACTCCGATCTTGCTGGACCTATAAGAAGAACAGTTTAGAACTGACAAAGCTATTCAGTGTAACTAAAGTTTGTTTAGTTAGGCATTCCACCTGTTACACTGGATCAATAAGGGATAATTATTACTGGACGTCTAAGGATCACAGTTTATAGAACTGATAGAGCTATCCAGAATAAATGATGCTTGTTTAGTTTATAGGTTTCCTCCTGTAGTAACACTGGATCAATAAGGCCTCGAGGAAGAACAGTTTAGAACTGATAGAGCTATCCAGTACAACTAAAGTTTTTTAGTTTAGGTTTCCTCCAGCATGTAATAACACTGGATCAATAAGAGATTATCCTTACTGGACCTCTAAGAATAACAGTTTATAGAACTAATATAGAGCTACCCAGTATAAAAAAGTTAGTTTAGTTTAGGTTTTCTCCCGTAGACAAATCGGTGAGATGGCCCAAACTTGACCTCTCACGACAACAGCCTAGAACTGATCGAGCTATTCAACGTACATGCACAGGAAACGTTTATATTGTATATTCATGGTGTATATTACATATCTCCCTTCAGACAGAGATGAGATATCACACATGAAACTACAGCACTTCTAATGCGTCTCTCTAACGACGCCAACAGTTTAGAACAGATGGAGCTACAGTACTGATATCCATTACAGATAAAGTCAGTTTAGTTGCAAGGAATCGTACAATATATAAAGTATTGTTTTTGATGTTACACTGAGTGTATATCCACACCGGGCAGGCTAAAAAGTTAGCCTGACCTTTGGGATACTAGTCCAATGCTCTGCCAACTGAGCTACGAGATCAAGTCTGTTCGAGTGTGCATGTAGTGGTATTTCGCGGGACTAAAGTCTAGCACCTTCGATATCAATGTACTCTACGATCATGATATTTTACGTGTACTTTTCAGCCTGCCCGGTGGAAAGTGTGGATATACACTCAGAGTAACATAAAAAACAATATATTCACCTGAGTACATAACATCAAAACACACACAAAAAATATAATATATAAAGTAATTTTAAAGTGTAACTATACTAACCTCTGAAAATCCGTGAATATATGAACCTCTTGCATGCATGCATGCATGCATGCGTGTCAGTTTGAATATTCCTTGTGCTAGCCAGATCAGTTGTAGTCTTATATAGGTCAGTAAAAAACAGGATTCAAATCTATTTAGGTTTTGCATTGACGTGAGAACTGGCATAAAACTACATCTGTCGGAAGCAGGTGATACGCCAACTATATAGATTACATAAACATCATTCATTTGATTTAGAAACAAAATATCATTGGAAACGTATGATGTATAGATAATAGTTATGG